ATCGATTTTAGAAGCATTCAACATTAAGTGCAATAGAAACTGAAAGTTGTACATAAACTTTTTTAAAACAGTTAAACAGGTTTAATAAAATAATAAATCTTTGGGTTTGACTTAATCAGGTTATCTTTGTGGTAATTATGGGGAAGGGGTATCCACTATTACCAAAAGTCTGTTAAATTTAATGTGTTTTAAACACATTAATACAGTCGACCCCCTATAACACTGTTGATTATTCCATTTTATATGAATTCCATGTTGTACAAGTCACTTAAATTTTACATTTACGTGTGTCGGACTGTGAATGGCTCATGTATTTGTAAAATCTAAGTGACTTGTACAACATGGAATTCATATAAAATGGAATAATCAACAGTGTTATAGAGGGGTCAACTGTAATTAATTTACAATACAAAATATATTAAAATATTACTATCAATCTTTTAGTGTGCTCTATCTGCTAATTAAAAAACAGTTTTAATTTTCATTCAGGGCAGAAATATTTTCATTAAATCAAGGGTCTACTGTGACAAACTAGGATAGAATTAATTTTGATTACTTCTAACAATAGTCTGTTTATAGAAAATATTTAAGAATTGAATTTTATAACTTAAATCAAACATAGAGACAATTAGTCTGTAAATTAGATGCACAAGAAATTAAAGTTATATACTGTATTTTATAAATGCAATGTGTCACATCTGCTTAATAATAAATGCAACTGCATGTTGGAAATTAATAGTAGTGAAACCTCGAGATTTTTCTGCTTAGGCATGAACAACCAAGGTCAAGCACATGATTTCATCATTCATTTTTTGACATTGTAAAACTGCTTTCAATTTGAGTATTTTAATTGGACAAAACGCTTTTGTGCTGATTGTGATATGTTCTGTGGCTTTATAATTTAAACTATGCCATCATCTTTCATAGAATCCAATGTAGAATTTGCTCCATATTAAGGGATGCTGGGATGAATAACATTCAAATCAACAAATAGCTACTATCAATTACCTATACTGTAGTACAATTGCATTTAGTAGTTACATGTGACACATAGAGCCTGATGCAATGTTTGTGTCACTTTTCATATAGAGTATAAATAAAAATATATTTTCTAGATTATTCTATTTTAATATGCATTATTGGATTGGTTCAGATTGAGAGGATAAGCAATGCAGCATATGTGATCTTCAATTAGTGGTGTGACTCCCAGTAAGATTTTCTATGGGGAAACAAGACCCATATATTAGGTGATAAACACAAAGAAAATGCAGAATACCATTGGCAACTGATGAGCTTAATATGCATTATTATGTTACCAATATCCATATGTAAATTTAAAACATATGAAATTCTCATCATTTTAAGGGTAAATCAGGATTTACATTTATAATTTTCCAAAACAACATAAAGAACAGTTTTTGAGCATTTTCTATCATCTTTAGATTTAGCTCAATTTTTTTTAAATTGCTGAAAAATTACAATGTACAATATGAAAGTAACAAGAAACAATTCAAGAACTTCAGAAGAATGCTGAATAATTAATTCTGTACCATGACCTGTAAATCAATAATTCATCACACATTTAACAAATGGCCTAGTTACACTGTTATTCCAATTGCAAACTGCTTTCAATAAAAAAAATTCAAATAATGTATTTCTATTAAATATTTTACATAAGAAAATTTATACAATAAAATAAAATGATCGGTAAAATTTTCTCACTCTAAGTCATACATGCCAAATTCATACTTGATAAATTTTGAAAATATCAAAATTATTATATATGTATAAAAAATTATAGCAACTACTATTCTATTTTTAATATTATTGTATGAATATAAATAATTTCAAAATGTTTTGAATATTGTTTTTTATCACATTGCCAACACATTGTTTATATTATCATTTTGTATATATTGTAATGTAAAACCCATTATATTTATTCTATACATATTGTTATGTTCTTTTGCATCCTGTGGAAAGTATTATGTAGGAATATTTTCCAGGAAACTAGCAAAGACAAAAATAATAATGCAAACATTAAGAAGTAGAATGTATAATCTTTGATGAAAAGTCAGAAACTGCTGTGAAAGTGTGAAAATTTGAAAAATTTATTGTCAGAAGTATGTGCTTATTAATTATAACAACATAAAATGACAATAGAATTTGTAAAGTTTTTAAAAGCTCAATATCTCAATATATAAATGCTATTATTCAGATAAACAAATTCGATGATGATATTCAGATAATCAGAACTTAATTTATAATTTTACTTTAATTGTTGAATAAATTTGCCTTAACCATTTTTTAACTAATTTTTCAATTAAAATATTTATTTCAAATTTTTAAAACCATTCTAATTTAAATTACTCTTAAGTTTAAGTTATAAGAAAATAAAAAGTTTACTTTTGATTTGTTTGTTGCATGCCTGTCCTATGTCTTAATCCATCTTCATTAGATGAGCTTGTAGAAGGAAATGGGTGTGCACAGTTCTGAGTCTCCTACAAAGAAAGATTAATAAAACTTGTTAATATATAAATATTTTGAGAATTGACTGTGTAGACTAGGGGTCCCCAAACTTTATCCTGTTGACCCTTTTATAGAATATTTGCCTTCTTATCAACCCCCAAATTAAGTATTTAACAAAAACATTAAATCATTTTTGCATTTCTAATGTTAAGCGATAAAAAGTCCTGCATAACAACCCAACAAATATCTTATAAAATATCTTAAAACCCATATCTTATAAAATACATCCAATAACATTAACAGAAAAAGGAAATCTTTTTCACTAATTTATGATCTTAAAAAATAATAGCAAAATTATGGATAGATGGAAATTTGCCTATAGTTCTTAAACTGTACGTGTCATAATACGTAAATTACAAACTTATCTTTGAAAACATAAGTTATATTGGATGAAAAAAACCTCTTACTGTCATTTTGCAACTACTACTGAATTCCTTAAAAATATGTTGACATGCCTTTTTATTAAAATAGTTGATATTAGTGGGATGGATTATTGATTATTGCAGCAAGATTATTGATATGTGGTTGAAAATTGGTAAGTTTTAGTCGCAAATCACCACAGTTTTCCAATTTCAATCTGTTCCTCTGTTTTGTCAAAATTGCATTTGCGTGGCTAAAACCAGCTTCAACCATGTATGAAGTTGGGAATGCAAGAAAGAAAGGTTCGGCTTCTGCTCTGAGCTTGGAATATTTAGGGCAATATTGTTATTGCTCCAAAATTCACTGAGGTTTTTATTTTTAAACAATGTTTATATTTAAACAATGCAAAAACCAGCTTCAACCATGTATGAAGTTGGGAATGCAAGAAAGAAAGATTCGGCTTCTGCTCTGAGCTTGGAATATTTAAGGCAATATTGTTATTGCTCCAAAATTCACTGAGGTTTTTATTTTTAAACAATGCTTTAGCTTTGAAATCTACATATATTTCACTCAGTCCATCTTCTAAGCCAGGTTCACTACCTTCATTAGAGAGGTTGAGGCAGACGTTTTAAACGTGTAGGTCGGACGTTCGGCGCCGCTTTCCCGTAAGCCTAAAAGTTTGACAATGGTGTTTGGATAGTCGGTGGAATCATGCTCGACATTCCAAACACCATCGTCAAACTTCTAGGCTTACGGGAAAGCGGCACCGAATGTCCGTCCTACACGTTTACACGTTTAAAACATCTGCCTCAACCTCTCTATTATCTATTTTTACATCAAATGGATTAGCAAACCATTCGGAAACATGCATATTCTCCAAGTCTTCGAAACGTGCTTTAAAGTCTTCTCTTAACTTATCAAAATGTTTAATATATATCTCCAAATCACGGTTGGAAATTTTTTCATTTTCTTTTAGTACTCGCAAGTTTGAAAAATATTTAAAATCGGATAGTGCCAATGAAGATTTAAATAGCTCCATTTTTACTTGAAAGGCCATAATGATTTTTCGAGCTTGAACAATTGTGACGTTTTTTCCTTGCAAACGCTTCTGTACTATATTAATAATTTCTGACATATTACAATATTTTCTCTGTAAAGGACAAAATATCTACATTTAGATATAAAATACTTAAAGTGACAACCCTACTAGAGTATAACAGTGCAACGTATGTCTGTGTATAATGAACTACCAGCATTCATAACATGTTTGCAACACTAGTACAGTTGCCAGATCTGTGAAAACAGAGTAACACATGCTTAAAGCAGCATAGGCTAAGGCAAAACTCAAGTTATAACTAGGGTAGTCAGTAATGTTGTTGATCATATCTGTATTTCAAATTTTTATTGGAATATTCTATTTTTTTCCTAGACAGTTTAATTGATCCTCTTCGGTATTAATCGACCCCCTGAAGAACTCTTATCGATCCCAAGAGGTCAATATTGACCACTTTGGTGACCCCTAGTGTAGACACACAAACAGATGCTCATATATGTGCAAAAAACAGAAATATATTAGTTAATTTATCTCAATATTAATTAATATATACAAGTAAATTTACTCATATGTTTGCAAATAATTAAGAAAGTATGCAGACCAATAAATTTCTTGTTTTAAAATTGACTAATTCAAAATTTTGAATTTACAACATTAGTTGGCAAATGTAATTGTATTAAGGTAACCAAAATTAATTTATACTTATAAAAGACATCAATATCAAGACATTTATAATTATAGTATTTTAATGTTATTTAGTTTATAATTACATTTTCTATGTACAGTACTTTGGATATGCGGTTGAAAATTGGTAAGTTTTAGTCGCAAATCACCACAGTTTTCCAATTTCAATCTGTTCCTCTGTTTTGTCAAAATTGCGTTTGCATGGCTAAAACCAGCTTCAACCATGTATGAAGTTGGGAATGCAAGAAAGAAATTTATGCAAGATGAAAAATTTGATTAAAAAAATGCCAGTTAATAATAATTAATTTTCATTTTATCATATATTTCTTTTATATAAATCCTTTCAGTAATATAAAAGTTTATTCTATAAATTATAACAAATGCCATATTTATATTTCAGAAAGTTTTTTGTTTTCTCTAAAAGATTTCTAAAAAAAAAAAAAAGTNAATTAATATATACAAGTAAATTTACTCATATGTTTGCAAATAATTAAGAAAGTATGCAGACCAATAAATTTCTTGTTTTAAAATTGACTAATTCAAAATTTTGAATTTACAACATTAGTTGGCAAATGTAATTGTATTAAGGTAACCAAAATTAATTTATACTTATAAAAGACATCAATATCAAGACATTTATAATTATAGTATTTTAATGTTATTTAGTTTATAATTACATTTTCTATGTACAGTACTTTGGATATGCGGTTGAAAATTGGTAAGTTTTAGTCGCAAATCACCACAGTTTTCCAATTTCAATCTGTTCCTCTGTTTTGTCAAAATTGCGTTTGCATGGCTAAAACCAGCTTCAACCATGTATGAAGTTGGGAATGCAAGAAAGAAATTTATGCAAGATGAAAAATTTGATTAAAAAAATGCCAGTTAATAATAATTAATTTTCATTTTATCATATATTTCTTTTATATAAATCCTTTCAGTAATATAAAAGTTTATTCTATAAATTATAACAAATGCCATATTTATATTTCAGAAAGTTTTTTGTTTTCTCTAAAAGATTTCTAAAAAAAAAAAAAAAGTCAAAAACACAACTTTAAACAATTTACTTTTTAATTAAACATTGTTCTAATTTTTAACATGTTGAAATGTTCTATAATTTTAAATCCATCATTTCACTTATTTTTGATGTACTGAAGATGTCTCCAAGTTGAGTAAAAAATGTTAATTTAATAAAATTTAGATTTAGTTTTAATTGAAAAAACTATTTTGTGTTATTTATTCAATTATATTTACAGTCATTTTTACTCATTAATTTCTGTAGATCATCTTATTGATAAAATTATTATAACTTTTTCATTCTAAAACAGAATTTAATAGCATCTCTATTTAAATATTTAAGTTTTAGTTTTAAAACTTACCTTAACAGTACTTGTCAAAGGTGTTACTAAAGACTGCTTGGTATTACACACAAGATGTAAAATGTGAGGACCTTTCTCGTCCTATTGAAAATATTTTCAAATAAATAATTATACTAGAATTTTAATTCTCATTACACAAAAATATATTTAAAACAGAACATGAAGAAGTGACTGGTGCAAAAACCAAAATCTTTGATTTTGCATCAGTCACTTCATTAAATTCTCTAACATTCAATGAAATAAAGATAGTTTTTCCCATACAAAATTTATTGTTTATACCACTGAAAAGAGAGTCACTTCACTTCCTTTATAATCTTTTGTTCAAATATTGCATTCAATGCTTTTGTTCAATTCTAAATACTGGTGCAACTGTATTTAGTCTCTTCTTCTTTTTGTATCATTTTCTTCTCTATTTTTTCAGCTTATTTTGAGATCATTGTTATAACACTCAAAATTCACTTTAAAAATTCCTTTACTGCAGAATAAAGACAGCACTTTAAAATGTAGAAATTATGTATATGCATAACAGACTGATGAGAATCTCATTGTCAGTTTTAGAATAATTAATATATACATTTTTTATTAAAGCTTTTTTTGGTTTAAAAAAGTCATTAAAGGAAATCCTCATTAATTCAAATTTGGATAGTTCAAAATCCTTAACTGTTAGTTTGTAACTGTATTTTTGTCCAAGTTGGGGATATAAAGATTTATACATTAGGAAATTCAGGTAGTTTGAAATATAGCTTCTTCAAAATTCAAAGTGAAAATTCTCTCTAAACTGTGATAAGCATACATTAACTCATTCATTTAGATTGAAGTGCCTCCATGCTACAAGACAACAATAGATCTCTAACAATAGATCATCATCATCTCTAATCTGGTCAATATAGGTTTGCTTCACAGCAACACATTTTTGGGTGTCACTTTACCCAAGGACTACCCCTTTCCTTTTCTTATCTCATAGAATACAGCTGGTTTTCCAGATTGATATGATATGATATGTTTAAAAGTGTTAGAAGGCTGAACCTTACGGCATAGCCTTTGAAAAGGAAGGATGAAGAGTTTTAGAGGAAGTGAGAAGAGGATAAACACCCAGCGTATAGCCGAGCAACTTCCACCTCTTTCCTGAACAGAAAAAGTGGCTCTCTTAGCCTCTTTTTCTGCTCTTCTTTTTCTGGAAGTCGAGACTTCAGGGCAGCGGTTCGAGACTAATGATGATCTTCAAAACAATGTTAGGGCCCATCTCAAGTCATTGGCAGCAGCATTCTATGAAGAGGGAATGGAAAAGCTTGTCACAGATAGGACAAATGCCTCAATCTTCACGATGAATATGTTAAAAGTAACCATGTTTGTACCTAACTTTTGGTAATAAATTCATTTTGTTATTTAAACTTGTCGGTTTTTTATGGACCATCGGAGGTTGAAAAAAAAAGCCTACATATTTGACTGGTCTCTTGTATTTGAGTTCAAGACTTCTGGTCTACTATATCATCTTTATAACCAGAGAAAAATTAACAAATATTATAGTTAAAACTTAAAAATAATTTATTAATTAATAGAATTATTATATTATTAGTTATGAAAAAATTGGAAATTCATTTCTTTTATGATTGAAAAACTGAAAATAACTCATTACACTAACAAAACTAGTAAAACAAAAATTATTTTATATTATTATTACAACTATTTTTATTTGCATTTAGATTTGTGATCAAATTATATTAATTGTTCTATAATTAACAAAATCATTCCAACAATAATTTGTATATTATTTTATAACTTACGTAACGAAGAATATCTTTCAGCTTCAAATGATCATGTAGTAATCTTCCTGAATATATCAATTTCTGGTCTTCAACAGCCTATAAAAATTAAAAGCAAGAAAAACAATGTAACTTTTATCTTAAGAAGTTATTATTTTAATTACTTTAAATTGTAATAAACAACTATTTATTATCATTAAACTAATATAATAATAAAGTGCAAGTTAATAATGATCAATTCAATTCCATTCTTTTAATAAAAATATACTCTTTCGTTAACTGTGAGTTTAAATGGTTTTTTGTAAATAATAAAATATTACTGTAAAATGATAGTTTTTCAGTTAAAGAAGTATATTACCATAGATATTTTTCATTATTATTGACGAGAGAAGTAAGAAATCAAACAAGCTATAACTAAAAATAGTCTGAAAAACACTTTTTACACTAATAGGCCTGTCATGATGCTGATTAAAACATTTTATTTTAATAATTATAAATTTTTCAAACAATTTAAAAACTCAGACTTGTTTTAAACAAATTTATCATCAAGTAGCAATTATAAATGTCTAATTTCAAAAATATTTTTAACCATATGAAACTGCATCAGTTAGCTCTTCAATTTTTTTTTCATGAATGAGTTGAAAAATAATTTCTTAACATACATCATAATATATTTTTAAAAAATTGAAATATAAATTTATATTAATAATTTGACTTTCTAAATTTCATTTCAAATACTTGAAGTTATAAATGAGATTTACATTTCATATATAATTTCTTATTACATACAATTTTCTTAATACAATACAAATTCTTCTTAATACATACAAATTCATTATTACATACATCTTCTTAATACAAATATTTTCTTTAAAAAAAGTGAGGAATATTATAAACAATTACAAAACTATTTGCTAGTATCCTGCAAAAAAAGTGAATAAAACGTCTAAATATAAAGGACTTGTGTTCAATGTCTCAGAGCTTGGTTTATAATTACTGTACTTTTGTACTCATGAGTGTGTTTAAAAGAAATTTTAAAGTAGCGTGGATTATATATTAATCTTAAACAGCAGACATAATGTAAACAATGGGGCAGGTTTTGCAAAGATTTTATTTTCATCTAGCAATTTTCTTTGGGTCATTGCCACTATGCATTATACGGCAAATTTACCATTTGTAGACAATTCTAAGCTATATATCAAATCATTAGATAACTTCCATATTTTGTTTTAACAAAGCATATAATCCCTAATTTACAGCAATGCACAATCAAAATTAAAACTAAAATACAGTTGACCCCCCTATAACACTGTTGATTTTTCCGTTTTATATGAATTCCATGTTGTACGAGTCACTTAAATTTTACAAATATGTGTACCGGGCTGTGAACGGCTCACATATTTGTAAAACCTAACTGACTCGTACAACATGGAATTCATACAAAATGGAAAAATCAAAAGTATTATAGGGGGGTCGACTATAGATTTCAGATAATATTTAAAAACCCAGTAAAATTTGATATGTTAATATAACAATTTCTGTATTATAAATTCTTAGCACACTTATTAATTTAATAAATAATTGAAAATGTTCAATATCGATAACAATAACTTTTAAATAAACAAATAATTTCAATTAAATGATAAGTAAAGAACTCAATAATTTAACATAATGTCAAACTAAAATCTACTGTGCATAAACTATAATATAAATTCCAACAATTTTGAAGAAAAGGAAATTAGTTAAATTAAATATTAAACAAAAATAATTAAAAATTAACAATTTTGTCAAAAGTTTATATATCTAAAATTATTTTGTGACAGTAATTAAATCATATTTTTTTTAGAATTTAATTTAATAAATTTTAGTATTGCAGAAATATGATCTATGCAATATGTATACATTTAAATAAGTTTAATAATAATTTGTGTAAAAATTTGGACAGATATTATTTTTATTAATAAATATGTAAGATCATATTACAGTTTAAAATAATTAAAGTTCAGTAAGAATTATTAATAAAGCTATTGAACAAAACAATAAAAAAGTATGGACAATGTTATAATTACAATAATTAATTTAATCAGAAAATTTACAAATAAAAATTGTAAACAATTCTAAAAACAAAAATAGCTATTAATGAGAAATAATTATATATCATTACTTTAAATTGCAATTTAATAGAGCATTTAATAATTAATTTAATGGCATGAATATAGCAAATCTATTGTTAACCAGCTATAGTCATTAATAAAGTGGCTGTGTCTAATAATCCACCAAGATACAGTGCCTAAATAATTTTCATATAGTAAACAACTACAAATAATAAAACTTTTGATATTTTAAAATTATTTTCTATGTTCAGGATTTATTGTACGTACTTTATCTATATATAATTATATATATGCATACCTGCTTTTTTAATTTATTAATGTAATAAAGCAATTATGATATTTAATTTTTCAAAAATAAATTTATTTATATAATTTAAAATATTAGTATAAATAATTAATTAGATAAAAAATTCTGTTTATATAAAAAGGTTTTTAACATTTGTTTATTAGTTTTTGAATTATATTTAAGACAAATATCAGATAATATTTAGTTGGAAAAATAATGATATCATCTTATAAATTATCCAAGATGACTAAAAACTAACCTATAATTTACAATATAACAGCTGGAGTAAATCAACTATGATAATTTTTATATGGGTTAAATTTTTAATTACATCAAAAGTACTTCAATTCAATAAATAATGATGGTATCTTTTATATTTTACTTAATTTTTTAGACTAGTTAATAGCACATTTATCAATAACTGTATTTCATATTTTAATTTATAAATCATTTTTCATAATTTTATCTGTTTATATAATACATTTCATGTTTTAAATTTCTCTTTTCTATTTTCTGAATCCAATTAGTCAGAAACCAATGCATAAAATTTAGAAATGTTTGTTTCTTTAGAAGCATCCTATTTCAGAATTTTATATTTATAATTTAATACTGAATTTTATTTTGCCTTCTTGTATCAGTTTGCAACTGCACTGTTACTTATCATACATTCTAATAAAAATAGCATTTCTGATCGAGACTATAAGCTAAATTATATATAACAAACACAACAAAATATGAATTACAGTAAATAATCACTTATCTGATCTAAAAATAAAAGCAGAAAGTCAAAAAGTACAAAAAGAAATTTTTAATGTAATAATTGTTTACATAACTAAAAATAAAATTCTGATAAAATGTAAAAGTTGCATTGTAAGATCATATTACAGTTTAAAATAATTAAAGTTCAGTAAGAATTATTAATAAAGCTATTGAACAAAACAATAAAAAAGTATGGACAATGTTATAATTACAATAATTAATTTAATCAGAAAATTTACAAATAAAAATTGTAAACAATTCTAAAAACAAAAATAGCTATTAATGAGAAATAATTATATATCATTACTTTAAATTGCAATTTAATAGAGCATTTAATAATTAATTTAATGGCATGAATATAGCAAATCTATTGTTAACCAGCTATAGTCATTAATAAAGTGGCTGTGTCTAATAATCCACCAAG